CTCTCACTCCTGATTGGTTATTTCTCTCACTCATGATTGGCCTATTTCTACAAAGCTTGTTCCTAGTTGGTCAACTTTTGTTATACTTTATTTGTATATGATGTTGCAAAGGTTAAACTGGCAGCCTATAAAGGCCTGTGTAAACCTACAGGCAGGGTCCAGAGCTTGGAGTGTTAACTCTTCTCGGCCTGCTGGCTTAATAGACCTGAATTCTCCAATGCTCTGAGTGCTGCTTGGTCTCTTGCTGGGATCCAGGTTGGTGTCACAACTGAGCGGTGACACTGAGCTGTAACACATTTTTCCACAACACCTGAGTGTTACCTGATTTTCAACTTTGATTGCTGTGGTCTGAGAGAGAAAGTAAGCCATTTACACTTGGTGAGAACACTGGGTCCATATACTTAGTTTACCTTGGCTGTACTATAATTACCAGTTTATTTGTCTTTGTCTTCAACCTGCATAATGTCTGAGTCTTAGTCATATTTGTGCCCTAAATATTGAGAAACAAGCTTTGAAAGTCCATGATGATCTCCTAGTACACAAATAGATGATAAATATGGAGTGTTGTGTGTGGGTGGTGGGGAGCCAGGAGGGCGGGTCAGGAACACAGTATCTTTCTTCACAGTCTTAGTATGTCAGACTTTTCTCGTTAGGTGTTCCCTGCCATGGAATGAAGGGACACAAAGATAATGCCTTCCATGATTTCCCCTTGTAGAGCAAGACCATTACACATTTGTTAGGACATGGTACTGACCGCATTTTATTCCCAGGAAATACATGGGACTAGCCTATTGCCATTAGGATAGATGCCAAGCAGCCCTGTGGTGAGGAGGGTGGGTGATGGTCATACCAGGCTTAGTTGATAATCATCAAAGCTGAGTTCCTGTTTTGGAGGAAGAGAAAAGCCTTATAGTTTCCACAAGAGCTTGGTTTCCAAGAAGAAGAAGAAATGAGTTTAGTTGAGTGAATTAAGGTGTCAGCAGTTACAAATGACACCCTAATCTTTCCCTGTTATGTACCCCTTGGTCAGCACTGTAGAGAGAGACTGTATACAAGACCCCGAGTGTTCTGATGACCTGCACCAGCTGTCGTTCCTGACGAGGGGTGATGGAGCCTTTATTTGTGGAGATCCATGGGGGAGCTCCTGGGTGGGGGTAGCCCTCAAGATAGGAATCAGTTATTTTAACCAATTGTTAACCAGTTTGCAGTCTTGGGACTCAGTATTTCCCAGAATGACCCTTACTGTGAAATGACAAACACTGAATATTAGCATTTCAGAGCAGACTTGCCATCTATCTCGTGTTGGCTCATTTATAACACATTCTTGAGATCAGTAGTTGGGAAGCCACTTGCGCTCACTGACCCTCACTTTCTACATCTGTAAGCTGGAGATTGTAGCACGATTCTATTTAATAGTGCCCAGAGAAGTCACCAAAATGGTGCACACCCATACCAGAATTCCTGGGACGTTCTATCCTACCTCTCCTGGGGGTCATCTTCCTGCTTCTCAGGTCTGTCCTGTGTTGGTGTTCAAGCTTGCAGCCAATTGTTTCCTTCATTATGCTTCTGTAGGGCTCCATTATCCCAGACATTCCACACATATCCCACATACGTGGCATGGTTGTGTGTCTCACTCCCTTCATGGGGAGCAGCCTCCCCATGGAGGGACTGTCTGGCTTCTAATCCACAGCCTAGCACATCACCTACACCTGACATTCATCCACTTGGCCTTCAAACACTGGACTGGTGAACAGATGTCTTCATACACTGTTCCAGTGGCAGCTACGGATTGTAACAGGTGCCTCCTGGAGAAAGTTGACAGACTATGATGGTAGAAATGTCATGCTCCATGACAATAACCCAAGGAAATAACAGAGGGCAGGTGAGATAGTTGGGACCTACTGCATTTTACCAATGAGACATCCACCCACTCAGGCTGTTGTCAGGCAGCCCCAGGGACTTTCAGACCAGAGGAATGGAAAGAGTTGGTAAGAGATGAGTATCTCATCCTGCAGAAGGACTGAAAGTGACAAAGCATGAAGAAAGAAGGAAGTGCACAAACAGCTTAAATGTCTTGTGTTTCCCTTGAGTTTAACAATTTTTGAGATAAAAATTAATAATAAATTTTTAAAAAAAGTTTCACATTTTCTTTCTTCCACAGCTCATGGTTTCCCAGACGAAGCAGATACAGGACATGGGTCAGAGGGATGAAAATGAGGCCATGGAATTTGCAGACCCTTAACCCGCATGTGTCTCTCATCAGGAGTGGGGTGTGGGCTCACAGATGACACCGTGTTCCACTGTAGGTCTCTGCGTTACCAGATCGTCGTACCCATTAAAACCTTCCCGACTTGCCTACAGGTTGGAAGCTGTCTGCTCTGACCCCACTCAGCCCCATAGGAACTTCCTGATATCCTTTTGGAGTCCTGTGTGTATTGTGTGCCTCATCATTGGTAGATAAGGTGGTTGGGGTCCACTTGACCATCAGGCTGCTTTCTCCTCTCCACTCTCTTTATGCCTGTTGATCTCGGACTTGTAGCCTTTCCAGAGACAGAGGCCATTCTTTGGTCAAGAATCTGTCTAACTTGTTGTCTACTGCAGGGCCCTGAGACAAGACAGCATGAATTGATATCCCCTGGTGCAGCCATCACCCCCTGGTCCATGTCCTGCCTCTCCTTCAAGGGCCTCTTGTCAGCAGAATCTGATGGGTCATCCTGCATGTGCAGTGATGGTGGCCAGGGTCCAACCAGGCCCTCTTGTTGTACTAACAGTCCAGTGGTTACCAAAGAGCCACTTGAAAAGCACATACAGTGGCCTAGAGGTCCTACCTCGACCAACGCAATTCCACAAACCTTTCTCATCCCCACTCTACAGAAAGCACTCTACTTGGTTCCAGGGATATGGTGGTGACTAATAGCCAGGCTGTGCCCAGGTTCTCAATCTGGTGAGGGAACTAGGTGAGGAACCAACCATGGTGCTGGAGATAATAGATTGTGTGCAGGGGACGGAAGTTTGCCAGGAGAAGTAGTTATACCTGATCAAGAAGGTTGGCTAGGAAAGGCTCTAAAGCGGAGAGTTCTGTCTGAGATGGGATCTGAAGGATGAGCAGGGGACATACAAAGGGAACACGGGACTTCGAGGGAGAGGAAACTGCATGGATAAAGATCTGTAGACCCAGCTTGTTGGAAGAATTTCAAGCATTTTCAAATGAGGGCAGTTAAGGAGGAGCAAGTTAGAGAAGATACGGTCAGCGGCTTTTGTGAGTGTCTGTGACGGTTGTGCTTACTGATGACATTAATTGAGTAGTTATTGAATTCCTACAGAATACGAACACAAAGGAGGCCAAAACTAGAGTGTCCAAGATGCTTTGCCAACTTACGGCCGAGTGAGCGCCTGCAGGTACAGCACAGGTGTTCCTCCTACTGGCTGCAGCTCCAGCCCCACCCCCTTCCCAGCTCATAAACCCTCCAGCCTCGCTGCATCTCCACGGGCAGGACGGGGAGCTCCACGCTCACAGGCGAAGAGCAGCGCACACAGCGGCGAGGGAACTCGGAGAAGGGAGTCACGGAGGACAGTGGCCATGGACCTGATCCCAAGCTTTTCCATAGAAACGTGGGTTCTCCTGGCTACCAGCCTGGTGCTGCTCTATCTGTGAGTAACTGTCCAGGTTCATAACCTTTGTAAACTCGAACTTGGGGAACTAATCATTTCTCCCCTTCCCTATGTGTTTTGAAGATCAGTTAACAGACGGGAAATTGCTAGAGATTTGGGTGCTACAAAAAATTTCCCCCACTCTACCTAGAAGAAGAATCTGGAAATCATGACTGCGTCAAGTTACTAATAAACATGAGTAATTCTCGCAAAGGATTTCAGCCTGAACCTCCCAGGAGCACTCAAATTCAAGATATTTAGCAAATATTCACTCTGGGATGGGGACCCTGAAGACTTCAGCTGCTTTTAGCTACTCATCAGTAGCTTTTGCGGGTCTCACTGTGGAGGTGGGAAAGGAGACAATCAGTGAATGTGATGATTGCTTTTGGAGTCGCTGCTTTTATTTATCACCTACATGTTACTTCCTAGGTCAGTGACCCAGCTCTGAGTCAGTGACTGGCCAGCCCCCCACCTGTCCCACAGTCCCTGTGACCGGGTTCTCTCTTTCACTTTACAGCTATGGGACGTACTCACATGGAGTATTTAAGAAGCTGGGGATTCCTGGGCCAAAGCCTCTGCCCTTTTTTGGAAATATTCTAGCTTACCAAAAGGTGAGTGTTGTTTGAACCTCCTCTTTTGCCTCTCATGGTTGCAAATCCCAGCTGAGTGCCATCATAAAAGGAGGAAGTCCTGAGGTTTCACACTTCCTAGAGATGCCATCGTGGGCCTAAGCAGCACGTGCCTCATTGTCAGCTGTAGGAGCCCCAGGTTTTGACTCGGGCAGACAGCCCACCCCCTGGCTGGTCCAGCACAGGACCTGATGCTCCATCTTGGGAGTACTGTGAAGCGGGTTTTCTTTCTGCCAGACGCAGATCCCCCGGAAGGTACCGCTCCCTTAGTATTAGGAGAAAAGCATGAAGGAGGTGCCCAGTCTTGGCTCCTTAAACTATGTTCACTGGACTCAGACTTCGCTGTTAGTAGCATGAGCTGTGGGTAACCTTTTTTTTCCATTCCTCCTGGATGGCTGGGAAACTTCACTTTCTAAGGCAGCCCGAAACTTCACAACCAGGTAATTTTCACACACCTGAATTCCCTCAAGAACCGCTGAGCCCTGCCGGTCTCTCCACGCCCTAATCCACCTCTTGTGCCCGTGACAATCCGGGGGATCTGAGAGCTGGAGCGAGAGCTTTCTGCTTTACTCCTGTGCCCTGAAAGGAAGCGCCTTACGGGGGAATCTGTGCAAAGAGTGAGTATAACTGAGATAGGGTGGTAGCTGTCTTCGACTTCACCTATTTAACCTCTGCGTGAGCATTTGGGGTTTTTTTGGTCTTTTTTTTTAAGCAAGGCAGAACCACTTATACAAAATCACTAGAAGGGACATGATTTAAGAAAATTATTCTCAATTTAATTTAACTGAACAGAATGTACTAGGTGACACAGACTGTGACTTCCAGCAGAGCCTTTATGCTAATCTGGGTCTGAGCCTCCTCGCCCGGGGCCTGGCCCCTGAGCTGAAGCTCATGAGCAGCGCCCGGACGTCCAGGGGCAGAGCCTCGTGTGCAGGCTGCTCTCGGCCTCAGACTTCCTTTCCCGAAGACCTGGGGCTTGTTCCTCAGATCCTCATTCTCCATCCTGAGCCTTCATTGTCTCATTACTGCCTAAGAACTGCTTGAACTTTCTTCCTTCTGAAAAGGCAACAATATCCTTTCCGCCTTCCCCAGATAAAGTACTTGGTGGATGCACTCCAAGACCCACACTTCTGGGACCTTCATTTGCAGTTAAACCATCAAAAGTCACAGCAGAAACTTAGCAACCGGAAGGGTTTTGTTTGTTTGTTTTGTTTTTACAGTTACAGAAGTGAATACTCAGGGCAAGTGTTTTTTTCTTGTATGTATATATATTTTTTTACTGAAGTATAGTCAGTTTGCAATGTTGTGTCAATTTCTGGTGTGCAGCACAATGCTTCAGTCATTCATGAACATAAATATATTCATTTTCATATTCTTTTTCACCATAAGTTACTATAAGATATTGAATATAGTTCCCTGTGCTCTACAGTATAAACTTGATGTTGATCTATTTTATATATACTAGTCAGTATCTGCAAATCTTGGAGTCAGGGCACGTGTTCTTATGCACTGGCCCTCGCTGAGCTGTGGTGTCTCCCCTTCTTCTCTGTCTGAGCTGGAAAACTAGAAGTCGATCCACTTTCTCATTCATTTGTTTTGCTCACTCAGTTTCTCACTCAACACACATGCCTTAGATGTTAAATCTGCTAGACTAACAGAAGTCACTGGTGTCTTTAACTTCCTAACTCTGCTACAATTCTGGAGAGGGCTCTTAGGATAAATGAAAAGGCAGCTTAACTAGGAGCTGATGGTGTGCAGAGGAAACTCTTTTTCTCAGCTTCATTATTCTTACATGTCCACGGAGAGTAAACTCAGAGGGCTATGAGATTTTAGAGAGAACACATGCACAAGCCAAAACACTTCAGAAAGACAAGGATTTATTAAGTATTCAGACAAGGCGAGGAATGACTTTAAATGCTCCATTTCAAATATCTCGTCTGTTTTATCTCTTTTCCCCTAAGACATCCCTGAATGAGAGATTCCTTCCATTTGCCAGTGGACAACGTTAACCCTGATTTCATGGCATTCAAGTCACTTTTGTCCCAATTAGAGGTAGGGTTCAATACATTTAACTAATAATTTAATGTTTTTTTTCTCCTGCAGGGTATTTGGGATTTTGACAAGGAATGTTTTAAAAAGTATGGGAAAGTGTGGGGGTGAGTATTGCGGCAATTTCCATGGGATAGGCTTGCCGTGATGAGGCGCTGCCCTGCGGTGAAGGGGGCGGTCTCAGTGCGGAGCTGCTTGTGCTGAAACCATCTGTTGTGCAGCTTTGGGAGCTTGTTCTCCCAGGGAGCCCCGAGGTCACCAGGTGTGCAGGTCTGCAGTCTGAGTCAGGCCTGGAGAGCTGCAGGCCATCACTTTCCTCCAGCCTTTGATGGCCCAGGGACTCCGAGCATCACCTCATGCCCAGTATCTTGCTCTTCCTCTTTTCTCCATTTTGCCTTCTTTGGGGCACCCTTAATTGCATCAAACGCATTATTCCAGAACATTCTAACATGTACTCATAAATGTATGTGTTTACCCTTCACGACATGATTCGCTTTCAAGGAAAAGCCAAATTCCTTTATTTAAGTTTTGAGTTCAAAAGTATGTCCTTATTAAAGAAGGACTGGGGGGTAGAGGTAACAAGAGAAGGACACCCTTCTTACCCTACTTTTTAAAACTTTCTCTGCACAGAGGTGTGGTTTTTTTTAATTTTAAGCCAAGATTTTTCAATAGAAGTGTATAGAAAAACTGCTTTAACTACTCTGTTCCTCTGACTTTGAAAAGATGTGGGCTATCTCTAGCCCAGGTGTTGCAGGTGGGCTGGAGGACTCGATGACTTTGCAGAGTGGCCTTGGCAGAGGCTGTTGCCTCGCAGCAGTTGGAGGTTTGGTGAGAGGAGCAGGACAGCTGTAATGTGATGCTTGTTTGCTTAAAGCATGTGGGAGAAGGCTCTGCCTCTCCGTACCTCTTCATCTTCCCTCATCGAGTCCTCAGAAACCGTAAGGCCCTGCTGAGCTGGCATGGCCCACAAGGGCAACGTGATAGAGTGGAAAGAGCCCGCAGCACTGCATCGCCTCTGGACCGGCTCCAACATGTAGTGCTTGTGGGCTCCGGATGGAGTCGCGTTTTCACGGTGGATCCCAGTTCTCTCTTGAGAAAACAGTTCTTGTGCTTGGGTGTAAATAAGAAACCCCTGGGAGGGCAGGTTAAAAGTCAAGACTTGCCCCTCACCACAGCATCACTGACTCCGGAGGATCTGGGAAGGGGCCCAGGAATCTGAATTTCAACTGGTAGTGAAGGAAATACGAAGGCTGGTGTGATACCATGAATATAAAGGGTCACCCCAAACCACTATTCCGTCTCCACTGAGGTGTTTTTGAGAAAACATGGTGGGAAGAAGGGACTCATCCAAGAAACATGGTCAGTGAGGTGGAGGAGCAGCCGAGCTGCCTCCTCAGTCACTTCTGGCCTGGCTTCAGCGCTAAGTACAGTTGACGCCCACTTAAAGCCTCTGAGCTTTAGAATAGTTTTTAGAAATAGCGCACTGATTCTCACCCATTTATATACATGATCACAAAACCATCTGAAATTCCTCTGTGAAGTCAAAGGAGTAACAGGTGACTTGCAGAAAATCTTCCATTGTGTTCTAGCAATTGCAACTGCTTCACAGTGGAAGACAA